ACTCGCTGTTACTTGCTTTTTTCACCACACACGCTTGCATCGCACAGCACAGCATAGCCTAGCTTCGTCTCTAGCCATGGCCGACCCTTCCGCAAGCCCCGTCACGGAGGGTCTTCTGCATCTTTCTCTGCGCAGCCTAGCAGAGGACATGCTCGAAGCCGATACTACGCTTCATGAACGCGTTGATGCCCTATGGGCCAAGGTGCACAGCCTTCTGGCGTACGTCGCTAGCCTTGAGCGACGCATCGCCCAGCTTGAAGGCGCACCCGACTGTACTGATGTGCCCTGCAATTACTTGCACGAGCTTGACTAAGCACAGCATTTTTTCTTTGCATGCCTTGGTTCGCATCGCACAGCTTTTGCTCATCAGCTGTTCTTGTGTTGCTCACCATGTCCAACCGCCTTGGTAACAGAAAAAGACGCCTGGAGCTCTGCGACGCCAGCACTGCACCTGCATCCGCCTCAGCTCCGGCATCTTCTGCTGCAGTGCCCTGCAGTTCTCTTCGCCATGCACAGCTGGTGGAGTGGCTTCTCAAGATCTACTGTCGTGGGCCAAGCCTCTGCACAGTATATGTGCTTGACCCTGCAACAGGCACTGCACCACCTGCCACGCTTTGCAAACTTTTTGATTCGCCACGCACTGGCTCTCTTATGCTACGTTGCCTTGTTTGGCCATGCCGCAAAGCATTGACGTGCACCTCCACAGCATTGCACCGCAATACTGACCGCTACTGGTCCTTCTCAGAAAGGGATACAAATGTTATTGTCGCTAATTCCTTGCGAGAATATTACGGTCTAGCACCGATTGGTCTTTGAACCTGCGCCGGCCATGGGCTTTCTTTGGCTTTTGGAGGGCACTGCACAGCTGCATCTTCTGCGCCGCATCCTGCAGGCCTGGCTTTATGCGCATCGCCTTGCCCTTCAAGCTCGCACCGCCTTGCAGATAACTGCACCGCGGCGCCCGCGCAAATTCGACATTTTCAGATATCGCTACCTTCTGTTCACGTTCAAATTTTGGTGGCGTCATTGTATGCAACTGCGCGCTGCTATGCACGGCATCGACCTTCGACAGCTCGGCGAGCCCGAACGCGAGGCCTCGCCTCGCTCGCCTGGTCGCACCGCATCGCACTGCTACTGCTTCCCCTCTCTGGTTTTCGACGGCCACATGTGGTACAGATTGGCCCAATCACTCAGCTACCCATCTTTGCGTGCACTGCGCTGCCTCTCCAAAGCCCATGCTTGGCGAGTCCGCGCAGCACAGTCTCGCACTGCAACGCATGTTATCCACGGCCGGCTGGCTTTGGTCTGGGAGTTTTACTCCGAGATTTTCATCCAGTTAGCGCCGCCATTGCATTTTGACCCTCTCACATGCATTGAGCCTCACTGCGTCGTGGAGTTTTTATCCTGAGCATCGCATTGCATGGAAAACAAATTTTCTTAGCGTTGGAGCTGTACCATCCTACTTTACGGCACTGCACGGTTTCACTTCGCCTGTTTTCAGGTTACATACGGCCTTTGCCAGCCGGGCGTCGCATCGCCCCCGCCTCGGCTAGCATGCTGCTTGCCTTTCTGAGAAGCCTTCTTCTCAGGCCTACTGCCTTGCAACGCTTTTTGCACAGGCACGCGCCTCAGGGTATCCCGTACCCTTTGGTCATGGAGTCTCTGGCGCATCGCACAGCTGCGCCCAGGTCAAAGCTCTCGTGCAGCGCGCTGCACTGGCCGGGCCCTCCAGGCCTTTTTCAGATGCATCGCTTTTGCTGCTCAGGTCACCCACGAAGTGGCCACGGCACGGGACTTACTTACTGCCTTCCCCGCCTGTGCCTCCCTAAGCCCTGACCCCAGCCCCCCCTTTCTTGTCAGGTGCTGTCAACGACCTCATCGCCGTCGACATGTTGCAGGACACATGCACTGCAGCGCTCGGCCATGCTTTCTTGTTGCACTCGCCGTATGTCGAGCTTCATGTGCACTGCAAGTTTCTCCTGCAGCTTCGCTTTCTCAATATTCGCGTTTGTTTCCGCTCGCATCGCACCGCATCGCTCCGCATTGCTTTGCATCGCCACGCAATGGCCACCAGCACAGCCTTGAAGGCCTTCATGCAAGCTCCTCGTGAGCAACGGGTCTCATCGCTGCGCAGTCTTGGGGCAGAGAAGATGGCACAGCTCGAGGGGGAGCTCCGCGAAGCCCGCCTTACTTTGTTTGGCCCCCTGCCGACGAGTAAGGCTAGCAAAGCATCGCCCCCCCCTGTGAATACCGTCCCTCCCCCCAAGCAATGCCCCGCACAGCCCCCTCCGCCCAAGGAGGCGCCAATCCCTGCACCGCCCAAGGACCCCCCTACCCCCCGAAAGCCCCCCCCGCGCGATGGCACACCGCATCGCGAACGCCAAGCAGCGCGCGGCTCTGATGATCCCGCACCGCACCGCCAAGCAGCTCGTGGTTCTGATGACCCGGCACCGCAACGCCCATGCAAACCAGGGCACTGGCGCAACAAACAAGGCAAGGGCCGCCCATGGGCCGACTTGTCGGATGGCGACGAATGGGACGACATCCCGTCCGCGGGCGCTGCGCCTAGCTCCGCACCGCACCCAGCACCGCACCAAGCACCGCACCCAGCACCACAGCCAGCTAACATGGACGTGGGCTGGGCAGCTTATTACGCCTATCAAAAAGGCGTCGAAAAAGGCAAGGCACAGCACCCCGCTTACGCACAGCCCTGGTCCCCACCTCCTTTTCCCGGGGCTGCCCCGCAGGGCTGGGCCTACCCGCCCCCCGCCCCGCCACGGGATCCTTCCCCGCATCGCCCCGCACCGCTCCGACCCAGCAAGCATGTGCACTCGGAGGTGCGCTGGATTAAGGCGCGAGACGGGTCCGCAGCACAGCACATGCTAGCTGTCATACGGAAGTTTGCGCCAAGCACCTTAGAACGCTATCTCCGCATCGCGCACCAATTCCTCTGCTTCCTTGAGGCTTGCGACATCGCCTTCAACCAGGTGTCCCTTGCTGCCGTTCTGGACTACCTTGCCTCTGCTAGAGCCTCGCGAAGCCAAGACCTCGAAATACACCGCATCAGTGCCACATCAGCCATCAAAGCACTGCGCTGGTTCCACAAGCTCTCGCAATGGGAACAACTCACCCCTGCCATGCAAAGCCCTGTTATCACTGCCTACTGCTCGCGAAGCACAGCCAAGGACCGAAAAGAGGCTCTACCTATCCCCATGGCTATTATTGCCGCCTGGGAACAGCGAGTCTGCGACCCTAACGCACCGCTATGCACTGTACTTTCCCTAGGGGCGGCCCTGCTGGCTATCCACGCCAGCCTTCGCTTCGGCGATATTCAGCGCGTGGATTTTTCCTCCCTATCCCTCACAACGGCTGCCCTGCATGGCGTCTGCTTCGCTACCAAAACCACGTCCCAGGGCCAGCCCTTTGCAGTCACCATCTCTGGCATTACCGGCCGAGATCCTTCATCCTGCTGGCCACTTCACTGGCTCTCCGCCCTGCGCCGGGCTGCCTCTACTTAGACTCTACTTTTCGCGAGCAGGACGGCGACCCAGATTTCTTGTGGGTCAGCACCGCGCCAGAGCTGAACAATTTGCTCGAACTTGCTCCAGCATCGTACTGCGCAGCAATGTTGGTGCTACGTTGGGCCGCGACACTGCCCTGGCATTGCAATTCCGCGGGCCTGACATCCCATGAAGCATCTCAGCTTACCTTGCACAGCATGAAAAGCACCGTACTCGCGGCTGCAGCACAACTCCGCCTAAGCAAGGACATCCGCCTCTCGCAAGGTCATCACCGCGACAGCGCAGCTCTCTATAGTCGGAACGACGCTTTCGACAGCCTCTATGCACAGCGCCGCCTGTCTTTGGCGCTCAGCCGCGGCTGGCGCCCGCAGCGCAGCATTGCACGCGGAGGCCAGGCACCAGTACCGGAGCCTCCTTTCACGCTGCCTTCCTCCGAACCTCTGGCCGAGCTCCCGGCTGCCGCACTCTTGCGTGGAACCTGGTCTTTTTTCGCCACGCGCCATGAAACCCTTCAGGCTGCACTTTTTCTGGCCCACGAAACCAAAGCCACGCGAGCGCCTCTGTCGCCGCCGGCCTCGCCACGCTCCCCGTCATTTGAACCGGCTTCGCAAAGCGAGCCCTGCTCAGACGAGGAAGCACGCATGGTCGAAATCGCCGCGCTCCGCCGCCAGTCTAGCACCTCATCCCATGCCTCCACGTCTTCCCTCTCCTCCGACGTGCCCGAACCGGACGCATCCCCGATTGACAAGCCCCTGTACGCCTGCACTGGCCCTTGGGGATGCTGGCACTGCCTCAAACCGCCTGACGACTCGGGCGTGCTCCGCACCGCGTGCGGCCTTGACCTGGGCTTGGCCTCCTTTACCTCAGAGGAGCCACCGCCCCCCCTTTGCAGGCACATGGCTTGCGTCATAAGGCGCGCAGGACACCTTCGCTAAGCGAGAAAAGCTTCACTGCAAAAGTTTCTGCTCAGTGTCCTTCATGCATTCAGCACCACCCCTTCGCCCAGGTCACCACGCAGACGTGCGCCCGCCTAGCCTTGCACGCTCTGTCAGTTTCTTGCTCAGCACCGCTTGTCCGCAGCCGTTTTACTTGTGCTCAAGCTTTGCCTAGACCCCTCACTAGCTTCATGGCAGACGCATCTGCCACGCCAGCTTTGGAGTCGCCGCTTGCGCTCAAACAACTCCTCACCTCTCTGCAAGTGCCCGACGAGCTAGTCTCTGCGCTACAGAGAGCAGGCGTTGACACAGTGCCAGATTTCGCATTCGCATATGCCACCGCCCAGGAACTCGACGTGTTTTGTTCCGAGGAACATGCGGAACTATGGGACACTCTCGGCGTCTCAGACCCAGCCCACAGCCCCGCCATGGCCCGGCTCCGCAGAGCCCTGCACAAAGCCAAGCACCTCACGGAAGCCGCGGACTCCACGCCCTCGGCCTCCAGCACCCCAATGCAAAGCACCGCGCAGCTACAGCCCAATGCATGGGCGGAGCATGCTCCGCCTCGCCTTGACTCAGCCAGCATCGCACAGCTCGTAAAAGACTTTCAGCAGAATTACCCAGGGGAACACCTGGACGGCGATGCCATGCCTAGCGTGAGACTGCTCAGCATCGTGCATCGCTGGTTCGTGCCAGGCAACGCTATCAGCTGGGTCCCTTGGCAACTTCGACTGTCCGAAAAACAGTACCAAGAGATCATCGAAAGCCGCGCAACCAAAACGCTCCGCACTGAGGCCGCCTTCCTCAGCACCGCACTCTTCGATGATACTCCCGAATTGCCGGTTGATCACCTTCGCCTCAGCCCCGCATGGTTGGGACGCATACAAACCGTCTTCCGCAATGCAATTGCGCTGTGCAAGGGGGCACACCTGCAGCGCCTCAAGGCCTATGATAAGAAAATCCTGGACCTAGCAACGCAGGCGCCCGCGGACCCCTCGCTCCGCACCGTGTCCACGAGTGAACTCGTTTCGGCAGACCGCAAACTCTGGAAGGAAATCTCCAGCTTGCACAGCACCGGCTGGAACCTTGACGACGCACTGCACGAAATGACGACCGTCCGCTCTGACGTCGGCAACCTCCTGCAGCTCCGCGCAAGGCCGCCACCGCCACCGCTTCGTCCACCTCGTGACCCCAACGCACAGCTTCGGGGAAAAGGCAAAACCGGCAAAGGCAAAACGGGCAAAGGCAACGCAGGTACGCCAGGCGCTTCAGACACTGCACCGCTAGACCTTGTCAAGGCGCACGGCAACAAAACGTTTTGCATCCGCTTTAACAAGGGCGCCTGCACCAATAAGCAGTGCAAATATCTGCACGCGTGCGCCCTGCGCATGCCGAACGGAGAACCATGTGGGAAGAACCATCCTGCATGTAAGCATCGCAATCCCCAGGAACCGCCGTCATCGTGAACTGAGCAGCCGCCCTCAGCCGGGGGAGCTCGGTTGCTCCAGCATACATCCCCGGCCACGCCTGCGACAGCACCGCCGGCACCGCCTAACCCTAAGCCCCGCACCGCAGCCCCTAAGTCACCGCCCCAACCATTGCAGAAGCCAGAGCACAGCGCCTCAACACAGCAATCGTCCGCTGCCACGGCTCCGCCTGCATTATCAACGGACGCTCTCTCCGCGGACAGTGACTATTACTCAGATTACTCGGACATGTCACAAGAGCCGGAGGCCCATCCCAGATTCCTGCTCTTCACATCATGTGCGCAGTCCGAAGCCCCCCAAGTTGACAGATTGGCCGTGGCCAGCCTAATATCGCCTTGGAGTGAAAACAGCTTCCAGTCACTCCGCGTTGCAGCATGGTCTGGCACGCTGGGAGCCTTAGCTTTTCTGCACAGCACAGACAATTGCTCGGCATCCGACCACGCTGCGAGGTGTCATACGCGCCGCTCACCTTCAGGGGGCTCAGGTCTACTTCTGGATGCCACGGCCTTGCCAAGGAGACATAGAAGCCGACTATGTCCATCTCTGTCAAGAGCTAGCAGCGCACTGCATCTGGTTGGCACCGCCCAACTCTGAGCCTCGGACGCTCTGCACCAGCGACAACTCAGTCGAGGCACTCACATCCGCCGAGGCACCTTGGCACAGCCTCATGCACATCATCGCCAGCCACTGCACCTCACTGCTCACGCACCCTGTACATATTGATCGCATCAGCAAATACATGCCTGCACACTTCCTGCCAAGACGCCCAGCCATCTGTGACGGTGCGGGCCTCTTCAGCACTGCCGACCATACCGCAAGCAACGTCTCCACTAAGCCTAAACCCCTAAAAGGCCTGGCATCTACTTTCCTTACATATCTTAAGTCGCAAGGGCTGCTTTCACATATAAAGACACAGCTAGAAACCGCTGATGGCACCCCCCCCTTATCCGAGGAACAGGGGTTAGTTCTTGCAGAGATCATTAGGCAGACCTTGGCACCGCGCGCCGACCCCGGCACTTTTCATGAGATTGCACAGGGCCAGCCCTTCCGACTCAACGTCTTGCAATGCCTCGCCTCCGCACTGCAAGACAAGGACGCCGGCCTGCCAGCACTGCTGTCTGAAGGAGTGCCCACTGGTGCCTTCGAGCCCCTGCCCTCAAGTGGTCAGTGGACCCCCGCCCAGCCTGAACTGGACTTCTCCCAAGAGTTCAGCCCAGCATCGCTCGAGCACTGCCGCGGGAACTGGTTGGCGGCAGACTCCAACCGGGAACTCCTCGAGCAACTCGTCCAAGACGAGGTCTCGAGCGCAGCATTGGCCGCAAGGCACCGCAATAGGTGGGTTAAATATAGTCATGGCCGAAGGGCGCGACCCTAGACTGGTCTTAGACAGCACTGTGTGCGGCCTTAACCCAGCAGTGCACCTCCCCGAGCACGTTGCACTGCCCACCGCCTCCGACGTGCAGCGCAGTTTTCTGGCACAGGACTGCTACGCATCGCTCGTCGCATTGTCACTGGATTTCAAGGCAGCGCACAAATGCTGCAAAGTCAGACCCGCGGATCAGGGTACGCTTCTTTTTAGAGTGGGGGGCAAACTCTACTACTATACAGTGTGCCACTTCGGCGCTCGGTTTTCTGCGTATTGGTGGCAACGCAC